TTCCACGCAAAGCAAAAGAAGCCATTGGTGGAATTACTCGTCTTACTCATGCTGATGGTACTACCAACAAGCCTAATTAATTTCAATTCCTCATGCTTAGAAATAGGAAACTACTATTCCTCTGCATATTTTAAAATATTTATTGTTTAATGTCAGGCTACATGTAAAAATAGGAATCCATGCCGATATTTTTCTCTTACTTACTGGTGGACCTTAAATCTGTAAATTTTGTCTAATGTGGATAATCACAGTTTTAAGCTGCTGTTAGTGTAACTATGAGATAGCGAGGAATCTCAACTTTTACGGCCTTGACTTCAAAAAAATCCTATATGAAGCTGTATTTTTGTTCTTTGTCAGGGAGGTCTATGGTAATCAATGTGGAATATAATCAGCTTGACCCACTGCTTAGAGCAACTGGATTTCCTGATGGCGATGTCAACAATGAGACTGGCTTCTCTCCTTTTCCAGGAAATATAAACCAAGTAATTTTCTCTCAATTACCCATCATTTCTTCTTCCCTTAACATGTAAGTAGTGAGGTGTAAATATGAACAGTTATTGTAAATAACTTAGTTGGTGGGAATCTAGAAAGTACATGGGTAAATGTAAGGGGCGAAGTAGTCGTTGGGTGGTGGGCTGGAAGTTGGGAGAGACAGGTAACTTGTTGACTTTTCCTGGATTTGTACTTCTCTCTCAACTGCTTTGACTCTTAGTACTATCAAAAATGCTTTCAACATGTCTGTCACATGATTAGAAATGCGAGGAGATCGTTGTTCTGTGGATTTTATGTTCTCTTGTTTTATGGTGGATTGGTTTATTCTCTGGTCTTATGCGTGATTTGCACTTCAAAATATTTTTTGCAGCTAATTTTAGAACTTGGGCCCTATATTGACGAGCTGAGCAAAACAGGAGGTGCTATAAAGGAGTTTGTCAATCCCAAGTATTTTTCTTGCCCTTATTTTTAGGAGTTCTGATATAGAGTTTGTATTTCTTTTGGTGTGAAACTGAAAACTGAACACTATGGTAGCTTCTAAGAAATTCCTTATCTTAAACAATTTTGCAGATATAAAGATGCTAGCAAGACTTCTTTCAAGTCTTCAACCAGATTGGAATGTATGATGCAAGATTATCCGAAAACATTACCTCCCTCAGCTAGGGTTGGATTTACGGTAACTTTTCTTCTCCCAGGCTGGGAAGTTATGCCGATTTTCGAAAAAGCTAAAAAGCAACTATCTGATTCTTTTATTTTTATTTTTTTGAGTCTGGTAGAACTGTCTTATAATCCTCATTAAATTCTTATTTTTGTATCTAAACTTTCTATGTTCCTCTTTTTCAGGTGATGGATACCTGGCTTGCTTATGCACCGGTGAAGAATAACCCCGAAGATGCTGCTAAGGTAAAATTGAAACTCATAGTCTAATTTACATCAAACAAATTGTTCTAAAATTTTAGATATCGTTAAAACATTTATAACAGCTCTAGATGTGTTTCCCCCTCTCATTTTTCTTCTTGATTTTGCAATCTCAAGATCTTCTTTCTTATCTATATCTTCTTTTCGAGTCCAGATTATTTTTCCCCCATTATTTTGAACTTTGAATATCTTGATATCTTTTTCGTGTTTGGCGTTCTTACCACTCAGAATTATGGACTTTATTTTGTTTAGGTACCGAAGGGAAACCCATATCACAGTGCCACTTCGGGCGAGATGGCCATATATCGTGCAAATTCTCTCGTTCTCAGAAAGGTATCATATGACAACTCTCTCTATCCAAAATGAGGAACTCTGCAAGAGTAGGATTCTTTTTTTTTTTTTTTTTTGCTTTTTTTCCAAAAGTAATAATCTTTTGAGTCCTATAGCAGGCGGGCCATAATTACAGTCTATAAAATGAAGTCCATTTGTCTGCTGTGTTTTATGTAGCTCTTCTCACTCTCTAATAAAAACTCACATTCGTGCATGAAAGTGTTTCAAGTGATGTCATATAAGCAATTAGTTAGTTCTTGGTAGCTACTAAGAAAGATAATGCATGTAACTTGCTCCTTGGTAGATTTTAAGCTTTCTATTCCATCTTACCAGGCCGGAGTTCAAGTAGCCGATCCAGTCAAACAGGCGTTCAATGGACAAGAGGTTGAAGTCTGGCCTCGCATCACATGGAAACCGAAATGGGGTTTGACCTTTTCAGATATAAAAAGCAAAGTTAGTGGAAAATGCTCCATTTCTCAGCGTTCTACTATGGTCATCAAGGGACGTAATGTTTATCTTCAAGACCTCTCTTTGGATGGAACTCTTATTGTGAATGCAGTTGAAGATGCTGAGGTATGCCGACTTCAATCTTTATTAAATTCGACGTTTTAAGTCATCACGAATTCATCCTAAGTATAGAATTTTTCTCTGGCGCCTACAATCTTAAAACATGAGCCATTGGGTACTCGTTTTGGCAGGTAAAAGTGAGTGGTTCAGTGCAAAACAAGGGTTGGGCTCTTGAACCCGTGGATTATAAAGACACTTCAGTGCCAGAGGAAATAAGAATAAGAGGGTTCAGAATCAACAAAATCGAGCAGGAAGAAAGAAATTAGCCCTCAACTTCAGCTGGAAATGGTTTGAAGGTGAAGTTGATGAATTCATGGGGTTTGTCGAACCATTTTTCTCTGCAAAATAAGTTTTTTCCTTCCCCTAGGAAAATAAAATTTGTAACATTTTTGTTCTATAATAAATATGTATTCCAAGTTCACCTTGAATAATTTTGTTGTGTAATAATATTTTGAGATGGAGAATGAAATTCCCAGGATGCTTCTCCTTGCCTTGTTATACTACATAACTATGACATAATAGAGCTTGATCCATGACCTTTCATTTCTAGAAAGTGGTGCGTCTCCTCAAAAAAGCGGGTCCATTTTTTCCAATTTGACTTACGTTCATTCTCCCAGCCACCATGAGAATTTCCACCACACACCTGTGGACAAAACATTTTTTATAAGGGTGTAGAAACCTCTCTCTAAGATCACGTTCTTCATTACGAGCTTATACACATGCTTCTAGAGCTATTAGGTTAGCTACGGCACCTAGTGCATTACCACAAGAGTGCTCCAAAGTTCCTCTGCCAAATTGTAGTATAGAACCAGTTCCAAAAATCTCGGTTAGAGCAGGCATATGCCAAACGTGAATACCATCGGAAGCCATTGGTAGAACACCTTAAAGGGAAACTCGAAAGGAAAAGCTCAAAATAGGACAATATCTGCTAGCGGTAGGCTTGGACTGTTACAAATGGTATTAGAGCTAGACATCGAGTGGTATTCTAGCGAGGATGTTGGGCCCTGAAGAGGGTGGATTATGAGATCCCACATTGATTGGAGAGAAACAAGTACCAGTGAGGATGTTGGACCCTGACGGAGGGTGGATTGTGAGATCTCGCATTGGTTGGAGAGGGGAACGAGTGCCAGTGAGGACGGAGAGCTCCGAGGGTGGATTGTGAGATTTGTGAGGATGCTGGGCCCTAAAGGAGGATGGATTGTGAGATCTCGCATCGGTTGGAGAAGGGAACGAGTGCCAGTGAGGACGCTGAGCTTCGGGGGGGGGGGGAG